TTTTCTTTTTTAGGCTTCATTTATTCTATTTTCAAATGGTGATTCAACCAGCAACTCTGTTGTTGTTCAGAAGTCCAAGCTCTCCAACAGAATGTATCAGTTTACAGGAATAGGACCATACAGGAATAGGACCTTCCATTTACTGCTGACAGCTGATTAAAATGATCAGATTTTACTTATTCATGTAAAACCTTTATCCCAAAATAAAAAAGAAAAAACTGATTGTTGTAACCGATTATAAAGTGTGATCTGGAGTTTGGCTTCAATTTGATATTGCATTCAAATCTGCTAAAACATTTCCCCGCTCCCACTCTCCCCCCCCCCCCCCCCCCCCCCAGACTGACAATGTTGCTGTGTCGTGTGCTCAATTCCTCCAAAGTGGTGTCTCACTAATACTGGACCAGACTGTCAGGTGAAAACAGTCTTGGTGACTTTGGCCAATCATGGCTCAGGAGTTAAGTCTGCTAGCTCCACCCAATTGTACGTCTGAGCGGCATCTGTCAGAACTGTCATTAAACATTTGCCAGAGCTAGCAGTGACGTCACCGCTAGCTCCGCCAAATTGTGGATGACAGTTCTGACAGTTGCCAGCCAGACAGACAATTGGCCGGAGCTAGTGATGACGTCACCGCTAGCTCCACCAAATTGTTTACCTCTCACTCGCAAATGTCAAATAGCGGCGAGTACTTGGCGGGTGTGTATGGGTCCGTGGGCATTGGGTTTTTTTACTTTAGTGAGTCAGCATCGTCGTGACAATGCTGGACACCGTGATTGAAGATGGATTACAATACTGGAACCATTATCCAGTTTTAGTGTGCAGGACAGGTCTACTTTAAATGCTCCAATCAGGGGTGGACTGACCATTTGGAAACTCGGGCACTGCCCTAGGGACCGGGGTCAGTAGGGTGCCCCATGAGATGCCCCTGGTACCTTTTTCATAGGCTTTTTTGAGTTTGGGCAAGGACACAGGGGCTCCATGATCCCCTATTGAGGGCCTGGGGTCAGTAGGGGGCCCCATGAGATGCCCCTGGTACCTTTTTCATAGGCTTTTTTTTTGAGTTTGGGCAAGGACACAGGGGCTCCATGATCCCCTATTGAGAGCCCAGGGTCAGTAGGGGGCCCCATGAGATACCCCCTGGTACCTTTTTCATAGGCTTTTTTGAGTTTGGGCAAGGACACAGGGGCTCCATGATCCCCTATTGAGGGCCTGGGGTCAGTAGGGTGCCCCATGAGATGCCCCTGGTACCTTTTTCATAGGCTTTTTTGAGTGAGTGGGGGCAAGGACACAGGGGCTCCATGATCCCCTATTGAGAGCCCAGGGTCAGTAGGGGGCCCCATGAGATACCCCTGGTACCTTTTTCATAGGCTTTTTTGAGTTTGGGCAAGGACACAGGGGCTCCATGATCCCCTATTGCCTGGGGGCCCCATGAGTTGTCAGTCCGACCCTGGCTCCAATACCACATTTTAATTATATATGACCAGGAGTTTAGAAAACGTTTAATGAATACAGCCAAAATTTTGATTTTCTTCTCAAAAATGTCAAGTGTTTTTTTCCATTTGTTCTGTGATCTATTATTTCATCTGTGCCAATAATGAACAGTTTATATGCATGTATTCACCGCTCATCTGTCAGCAGTCAGTGACAGTAGAGTGTATAGACTTTTCTCTAGAAGGCGGATGTACAAGCCTGTAAGGCACAAGAGAGCTTGACACATTTTTCAGCCAGAGTACAAAAGAAAAAAATGAAATAGATGACTTGGAAAGTGAGACAAGGCATTAATGCATGCACATCGTGGAATGTCTCACTCGACACCCCTATTGAGGAGTTTATAGCTTGTTTGCACAAGGTAAAGTTTGGACAAGGTACATGTGAGCTCTTGAAACATAGAAAACGTTGGCAGATAAGAACCATGCTGGCCACTTTGTCCCACTTACAATTATATAATAAAATCTCCATATAATAATAAAATACATAATACATAACATAATATAAAATACATATAAAATATACAGTATATTTGAATGCAAGGTAGATATAAAAACAAACATTCTTAAATCTAGTAACTCAAATCATTAAATGCATTTTTAAACATAGCTTCTTAAAGTAACAGAATTATATCAGTGTTTTAACTTTCTATAATCCTTTGTAGCGCAGTACTCAGGCAGGAAGGGACAGCATAAAGAATCTATTGTGGAGTTCCACCTTTGCTCAGTACCATCAGCCTAACTTTATAAACACCCTTAAAGGATGAAAAGGAATAGGTATGACCTCACCAGTATGTTGCTTTGCTTTCTCTGTCCAATCAGTTGATTTGGCGTCTTTAACCAAATTGATCTAATTAACCACTTGAGCTCCAGAAGGTTTAACCCTCTTAATGACAAGGGCATTTTGTCTTGTTCTTCAGCACTGTGCTATTATAACTGGTAATTGTGCGGTCATACAACACTGTACGCAAATTAAATTTATATCTTTTATTTTCACACAAATAGAGCTTTTTTTTGGCAGTATTTGATCAGCAACTTGCAGTGGGACTGTGATAGTGCAACACTGACACTGGGTGGGAACTAGAGATGGAAAGGCCTGGAAAAAAAATGGAAAAATTGGAAATAAAAGTGTGGAATATGTTTTTACATTGATAAATATTATATCTAGGACATGGTATTCAAACTATATGTAACGTCTTAAATTATTCCAAGTTTTCTCAGCTGAAGACAAGCAAATCCTGATATAAATGTAACATTGCACTTCTCAATGCAGTCCTCCGACATGAGAAATATGCACTGCCACTAGGGGGCACTGCAGGGGGAAGGCTCCAGTGTAGGTTGCTTGTGGGCTCCATATTGTACCTCCTACAGTTGAGTGATTGTTGGGATACAGTCAGGGGCGGACTGACCATTTGGAAACTTGGGCACTGCCCGAGGGCCCGGGGTCACTAGGGGCCCCATGAGATGCCCCTGGTACCTTTTTACATAGGCTTTTTTGAGTTTGGGCAAGGACATAGGCCCCATGATTCCCTATTGCCCGGGGGCCCCATGAGTTGTCAGTCTGCCCCTAGATACCGTAGATGATAGTTTCTGACCTCTCAGGCCTTAATTGACAGGTAAGAGGGTAAATTTGTCTGACAAATTAGTTTAGCTTATAACCTTTAAATGATTCCTAATCATGTTCTCCACCATCACAGCATCATTTTTACATGTAGTCTGCTCAGTAAATAGTTTTTCCTTTTCTTATTCTTAGTAAAATGGTGAGACCAACATCTAGAGTTTGGAAACATTAACATACTGCAATTTCAGCTGAGAACAAAGCTGCAATATCTAATATTGTGAGAAGAAATATTCTTTTCCAAATGCTACAAGGACGACAAAACACATCCTGGCATGCCAGAGGTGTCCTAAAGATATTAAAAATACTTTATGGAATGAAATGAGGACCAGAATGACAGTGCAAGTAGCTTTTTCCCTCCAGTGTTCTCATTACAGAAACATCTTATTGCTGCTTCTGGATCATCACAAAGTGTTTCTTTACCAGCAGCATCTTCAAGTAAGGAAGTGTTGCAAATCACACCTCCCAAAAATACACAATCCCTTCATTTACAGATAGAATGACACTTGAAAATCAGGAAAACATTGGCCAAGCTCTTCATAGAGCAATGTATGCTTCTCGAACAGCACAGGGCTCTGGGCTGTGAGTAGACACAGCTGATCACCAGGTCTCAGCCATGAATCAATGGCCAGGACCTAATGCCAAAATCCACGTGCCCCGACCCGAAAGCAAGTAGCAATGTACAGGTACGTGGTTGTGCCTTTAGGAGCTCAACATCCGTAATTCAATGTGGATGGACGGTCCTGAAGTGGTTAAAGTGTGTGTAAGCCCTAGCAATTACCCTCCCTTATTTGCTTCCAGTTTGGTCTGTTTTGTTTTATCCATTTAAAAAGTGTGAAAAATACTTGTGGATCATGTCAGAGCTGTCATGTGTTAGTTCAAAGAGTCATATTAGCCCTCCAAGCTCTTAGCCTGTACTACAGAACAATATGTCCCCACCTTATGGAGATGGAGGGGTTTAGTAGTTTAGCAGAGAAAAAAAACTGGGTAGAGCCGAGATGATTTACCCCCAGTTCACATCTATGCGGCCGTGCGGGCTGCGTTTTGCATGGGCACAAGAGCCCATTCATTTGAATGGACTCCCGTGCCCGTGACATGCAGGGAAGAAGTCCTAACTAATAGCACCCACCTGCAGGTCTGCAATTCTCTGTGCTGGTGGTGCGGCTGCACAGATTTTCGTGCGGATCTGCAGCGGCACCACCCGCACAGATGTGAACCTAGGGTTAGCCCACAAATCTACTGAGTGTTAGCCTACAACAGGACATTAGGGGACTAACAGGTATTTTTTTGTACTTACATGATCTTAAAAGGGATAAAGCATGGGGAAATATGAATTCGGATCTGGTATGGATTTTCAAGGGGAACCATTTTGAAGGAGAATAAACAGTGAACATCCCTCTCCTGAACCACACCAGGCCACATGGAGAGGGGAGGACTTTGACCCCCACCCCCACAACCAACGGGCCAAGGTTGTGGGAAAGAAGCCCTTCTCATCATCAACATGGGGACAAAGGACTTTGTTGGGTGGGTTCCCCAACCCTGTAAAATTGCCAACCCTGAGGCTGCCAACCCCCCCACCCCAATGTTGAGGGCATGTGGCCTTGTCTGGTTCGGGAGAGGGAGAGCCCTTTCCTGGCCAGCTGGGTTCCATGCTCTGAAAAGGGTCTGGTATGGAGTTTTGGTGTGGGGTTACCTTAAAACCTATAACGGACTGAAGAGTCTAATATGGATTTTGGGGGGGACCCCACACATTTTTTTGTTTGTTTTTTGGCATTAGGTCACCAGTGCTCTGCTGGACACTGATAGAAGTCATAAGACTGCTCTAACTGCTGATGAGAAAAGGTATTTAGCAGTTTATATTTACTAAAATAATTGCACTTCGATGTTGTGTGTACTGTGGGAGACCAGATATAGTGAATGCAGGGTCCGGGGAGACCAGATATAGTGAATGCCGGGTCCGGGGAGACCAGATACAGTGAATGCAGGGTCCTGGGAGACCAGATATAGTGAATGCAGGGTCCTGGGAGACCAGATATAGTGAATGAAGGGTCCTGGGAGACCAGATACAGTGAATGAAGGGTCCTGGGAGACCAGATATAGTGAATGCAGGGTCCTGGGAGACCAGATATAGTGAATGCAGGGTCCTGGGAGGCCAGATATAGTGAATGTAGGGTCCTGGGAGGCCAGATATAGTAAATGCAGGGTCTGGGGAGACCAGATATAGTGAATGCAGGGTCCAGAGAGACCAGATATAGTGAATGCAGGGTCCAGAGAGACCAGATATAGTGAATGCAGGGTCTGGGGAGACCAGATATAGTGAATGCAGGGTCCGGGGAGACCAGATATAGTGAATGCAGGGTCTGGGGAGACCAGATATAGTGAATGTAGGGTCCTGGGTTTAGTAACACTAAGTGCAGCATCTCACAAAGACCATCCCCAATCAATGACAAAACTGAATGTTTTATATATAGAGGAACCACATCAATGTATTCAGAGTTGTAGCGATATGGATGTTTTCAGAAACAGACTCTATATAATCCATTATATAACAGTCACTCTAATATCAAAGAATATTCTTAATGTGGTATAGGGAACAGGGGCAGACTGACAACTCATGGGGCCCCCGGGCAACAGGGGATCATGGGGCCCCTGTGTCCTTGCCCAAACTCAAAAGCCTATAAAAAGGTACCAGGGGCATCTCATGGGGCCCCCTACTGATCCCAGGCCCTCGGGCACTGCCCGAGTTTCCAAATGGTCAGTCCGCCCCTGACTGTATCCCAACAATCACTCAACTGTAGGAGGTACAATATGGAGCCCACAAGCAACCTACACTGGAGCCTTCCCCCTGCAGTGCCCCCTAGTGGCAGTGCACATTTCTCATGTCGGAGGACTGTATTGAGAAGTATAATGTTACATTTATATCAGGATTTGCTTGTCTTCAGCTGAGAAAACTTGGAATAATTTAAGACGTTACATATAGTTTGAATACCATGTCATAGATAAAAGTGTGGAATATGTTCTTTTACATTGATACATATTATATCTATGACATGGTATTCAAACTATATGTAACGTCTTAAATTATTCCAAGTTTTCTCAGCTGAAGACAAGCAAATCCTGATATAAATGTAACATTATACTTCTCAATACAGTCCTCCGACATGAGAAATGTGCACTGCCACTAGGGGGCACTGCAGGGGGAAGGCTCCAGTGTAGGTTGTGAGATGGAAAGGCCTGGAAAAAAATTGGAAATAAAAGTGTGGAATATGTTCTTTTACATTGATACATATTATATTTCCAATTTTTTTCCAGGCCTTTCCATCTCACAACCTACACTGGAGCCTTCCCCCTGCAGTGCCCCCTAGTGGCAGGAAGTGCATATTTCTCATGTCGGAGGACTGCATTGAGAAGTACAATGTTACTTTTATATCAGGATTTGCTTGTCCAAATGGTCAGTCCGCCTCTGATAGGGAATTGCCTACAGATCAGTCCAAAAGGTTTATATTTACTAAAATAATTGCACTTTCATATCCTGTGTACTGTGGGAGATCGGATATAGCGAATGCAGGGTCCTGGGTTTAGTAACAATTTAAAAAAAACCACACCAAAAGTGATTTCTGACAAGATGTCAGAAACGGTTTTTTTTCCCTTTAATTCAGTAAAAGCAGTAAAAGCAATTTAGAAGCTGCTACCGCGACCAACATTTTCCAGCATTTAAAATCATCCCCAAAAATGCAAAATAAATTGAAAAACATTCCATATTTTAAGATTACCTTACAACCCCCCTTCTCCCCCTATTTACACATGGGGTCAAGGAATAAAATAAAAAGTTGAGTTTTTCTTTCACTGCTGTTTAGAACACTTGAGGACTGTGTATTTAAAACACATTTGTCATGGCTAATGAATGTTGCCTCAGCCGTCAATCACAGACTCTATTAAATAGTGTCACACTTCTTCGAAAAAAATAAGTCATGATCCGTGACAGAAAAGTAAACAAATAAATAGAAAACTAAAAAGTAGGGGGAGGAGGGGGAGAGGAAAAAAAAATATACCTCTTTCACGGATTGCTTATGCGTGCAAAATCCCCAGAGGGCGTTAAGGCGGTCTAAGAGATAATGCAGCACAGTCTTGCAGTAGGTATAGCGACACTGAGGCCTTTGCATGGAACGAAAAAAAAAAAAAAAAAAGCTCTCCTCTGGAAAAGGCCTGCTATATTATTAGCCTGAAGGTGCAATTTCCTGCAGTCTCCCAGATTGACATCAGCTGTAAATGCTGTTAATTTAACTAACTTTAAATTAATGGTATGGTGTCCAGGGGCTACCTCCCGTGGCTGCTACAAAGTTTCATTATAATCTTGTTTTATGCCGTACAGAGGTGGTGTCTCAGTGTGCGACACTTCAGCCGCAGGTACGGCACACAAAACGCTGTAATGGTTTAAGTGACTGAATTTTACTGTATTTATTTTTTGTGATTAAAATTTTGGTGGATGCAAACCAAACAATAATTAAACTATTCAGCTACACATTGCAACTTAGTTGTCTCTGAGGGAGTGCCTGCTATTTGGTAACAATTAGGGCTTGTTCACACATGACTGTTTTTCCAACTCTTGCCAAATGCCCCTATAGCGTTTGACAAGCGTTGGTCCGGCGCTTGCGGAGCGTTTTTAAGCCCCACAAACGCCTATAATGAAGTTTGAATGAAGCATGCGCGGTTTAGCGGAGGTTGCTAGGCGTTTGCCAAGCGTTAAAAAATCCCCACAAACGCCTATAATGAAGTTTGAATTAAATAAAGGAATGCGCTAAAACCACAAACTATTCCTAATTTAGTGTAGAAACATTAGTGCAAAAGATATATATCTATTCTCAATTAATATCAAAAAATATCAAAATTATGTGCAAAACTATTTTTTAGTGCATAAGTAATTTAAATTAAATTTGTGAATATAAAAATTGTCCAATTTTGAATTTCTTCAAATGTCCAAACAAATCCTTTTCAAATTCAAGTGCTCTCAAAGAAATTGTGCCAACATCCACCACCAAAGTAAAGTTGGGTAACTCACCAGAGCTCCATGCTGATCAATCTCTAGATCAGCAAAAAAACGCTTTTTTACTCTGGGGCAGATGCAATGAATCAACTTCTCAGGTGTGATGATCAATAGCTACACAATCATCCATAAGGTAGGTATCCACCACTCAATATAACGGTTCCAGGAGCATTATATCACTCTCTCTTTTTATATCTCTCCACCGAGGTCATGTTTGGGAATGAAAGAGAAAATCATGGTGCAGCCAGTTTTTTTTTTTATAAAAGTATCCAACAATTTAATAAAGATTTACACTCACAAAAAGGGTGTCTTCACGACACCAGTATAACAGCATAAAACAGCAAATGGTATAACAGTCTCCTGTTCCCTGCACACACTCACTACAGCGCTCGTGACTCAATCCTCTCCACAGACGTCAGCATCCAGCAAGCCAAGCCCTACTAGTTTCGTCACGAATGACGTCTTCAAATGAAGTTTGAATGGTGGTAACCCTTTGAGGACCATAAGATTACGGAAAGCCAAAAGAATCAATTTTTTGTTTTTAAAGTTCGTACACTTCAGTTCCTGTAACTAAGCCATTTCATGAAATAATTGGCAAAAAGCTAGATCCATTTGTTGATAAGAACTAATATTTTGACGTAAAAAAAAAAAAAAAAAAAAAAAGTATTTTAAGTTCTTAATCAGATGATACAGGCAATTAAAAACATGGGACAAATATGTCCCTTGGTCCTCAAAAGGTTAACGCCCCACAAATGCCTATAATGAAGTTTGAATGGTGTTAACGCTCCACAAATGCCCTGCAACCGCACCGCAAATGCTGGACGGGCGTTTGCGGAGCGGCACCATAGACTTAAATAGGAGGCTTCAACTCCTGACTCGACCAGAGGCGTCCGTTTTGCCACGACGCAACAAGACGCTAACGCTCCTGTTTGAACAGCAACGTGCTGCAATGTGCAGAATTTTCCCAGGTGTTTGGGAAGCTTTTTTACCCTTTCCCAAATGCCTGTCTGCCGTTTGCTAACAAGGCTAGTGTGAATGTAGCTTTAAAGAGCAGAACAATGGCTAAATGGTTAGCACTTCTGCCTGGCAGTACTAGGGTCGCTGGTTTGAATCCCAGACACAGCACCACCTGCCTGGAGTTTGCGTGTTCTCCCTGTGCATGTGTGGGTTTCCTCCAGTTTCCTCCCACACTCCAAAGACATACTGATGGGTTCATTGGATCCTGACTAAATTGGCCCTAGTATATGTGAGTTAGGGACCTTAGATTGTATGCCCCTTGAGGGTTAGGGACTGATGTGAATGTACAATATATATGTAAAGCGCTGCGTAAATTGATGGCGCTATATTAAAAAGTTGCTATCATGAGTAGAAATGAGGCAATCCGTTCATCCAACATGAGACTTAAAGTATAACTAAAGGCAAACATTTTTTTTTTTTTTTTTTAGTTTTGGATAGATTGGAGAGTTAGAACACCTATTAGGTTTCTATTGCTGTCTGTGCCCCCGTTAGGGAGATTTACCCTCTCTATTTGTCCTGTTCACCATGATTATCGAAAGTAAATGTAAAAAAAATTAAAACAAAATTTTGGATTGTCCCCAGAAAAGTAACAGGGGACATTTTCCAATGGGGACACTAGTTCTGGTGACCTGGAGGTCCCCAAGGAATTCCCTTAGGGCTAGTTCACACTAGATGAAGTCCAGTGTGCTTTTTTTCTGCATAAAAAAAATGCATGCAGTGTTTTCCAGCTCACACTAGAGCAGTCCGTTTCCAGTGCAGAAAAAAAAAAAGTAGAACATGCTGCATTTTTTCTGCACAGGCCCATACTGGAACAAATCAAACCGCATCAAAACTGCACCAGAATGGAGTGTGGTGTGAATTGTAAGCAAAACATATCTGGAGTGCATTTTTGTGGTGTGAACTGGCCCTTAAAGTGGTTTGTAAACACTTACATATGCCCAGTTAAGTGCTAAATTTTAAAGCTTTTCTGAGAGTTCCTAAAAATAAAAAAAGAAGGGGGGGGGGAGCTGAAATTACACTCTGCAAAGCTCAGTGAAGAGAGCTCTAAGAGCTGATTGGAGAGAAGAGACACACCCCCCTCCACACAACACACAGGAACAAGGCTGAGGCTGTCAATCTACTTTGTGCTCCCTCCCCTGTCACCATTTTCTCTTGGTGTCAGGAAAACCTATCGAAAGCGATTCATGCCGATAGCAGAGGAACAAGGCAGCAGAGAGAAATGAAACTTCGCGTTCTTAATTGAGACAAGTACACATTATAAAGAGATATGCTTTGTTCATATTTCGTGTCTGAGGTTTACAACCAATAGCTTGAGTAGAGTCTGAGAGAGCGGACGGTGCTCTCAGGAGTCAGACGTGTGGAATGTACAAAGTAGCCTCAGCTGCTGCTCTAGCCACACCCCTGACATGGTTCACCCCGCCCATTGGGGTTTGGTCACAGAGGCACCAGGGGTCTACTCTACTCAAGCTACTGGAACAGCCTGGGATGCTGCTCCCTCCCTTCTTTTCCTCTGCCGCCAGGTTGACTCTTCTTTATATCCAGCTAACTACCTGATGCAATCTCAGTTTTGTAAAAAGAAAAGCTGCAGAGTTTGCTTCTCTTTCAAATTGAATGATCCTTAAGCTAGGTTCACACTGTTCTGTGAAAATGCCTGGTATGTGCCCTTCATTGTAGCCTCCCTGGCGGTATTCCCGAGTGTAGCTGGGGTAAAGTTTCAGTACTACAAGCGGTAACCCCGAGCTACACTCGGGCTTATCATGTGGCGCTGCTCCGGGATCCTTTGATCACTTACCTTGTCCTGCGCTCCCGCGATGTCCCTCCTGCAGTGTCCCCGGCAATGTAATCCGGTGGATGCCGGCATCTGTCATCTGGGTTCCCCTGCGACGTCAGGATGTACGGGGGATGGAACAGCGGGGGAATTTGAAAATGACAAAAAGTGACATTCACTAAATTCACTAAAATCACATAGTATAACATTTCTGTATCAAACCATTTCACATACATTTTGTCCCGAGTGCTTTGTCCGGCGCCCTGCCTGCATTTTTACTGTTCTTTCTGCCTGGAAACTGAGAAACGTCCATGGCGTCCAAAAAGCGTCCCTTTAGGTCAAAAGCGGTTTTAGACCGGCTAGAGAACAGCGATAGTAAATCAGAACCACTTGCAGAATTGAGTGATAATGATTCGTGGGGGAAATTCCTCATCAGACACTGAAAACGATTCTGCGACTTTGCTCAGCGATGTGTGAACTTGGCGCTATATTTCACATTTCAGTGTTTTTGGTTTGATTATATTATTGAATTAAATGTATTATATTATTTTTTATGATTTATTAAATTATAATTTATGATTTTGTGTTTCAAGTTTTATCCTACCCGGGATGTTTACTAGACTCTTGTTCGGACAGATTTCAGTGAGTTATTCCTAAAAATTACAGGCCTACAATAAAAAAAAATACATATTTCCATGCAAAAAAATGTACCGCTTTGAGCACAGAAATACTGACATAATCAGACCGCTAGAGA